TAGCCCCTCACGGAAGGAGGTGTAAGGACAACACACAGCACCTTTCCCACTGCGCTAGGCCTCATTAAGATATCTGCTGCCAGGAGAATCTGATTAGTGGTGTAAAAAAGATCCTCCCGCCAGGAGATGTGAAATGGCAACGGACGGATTGCGCCTCGTCTGTGCATCCTCAGCCCTCACTCTGCAGCTCTTTCAGCTTTCTACAGCCCGTATTTCAGGCTGGCAGAGCCGCAGCACTGTATCATTTAGACAAGAATTAGAAAGGCAAACTCGAGAGACCTGAAAATTTTCTTCAGGCTTTGATGCGTGGTGGGGAAAGGAAGGTTAAGAAGTAAGAAGTAACTTTAAATTAAAAAAAAAAAAAAATCAAGACTCCTGGGCTCTCTAAATATCTCTGCCGTACCTGCCTGCCACGGGGCTAATGAGGAAGAGATGAACATTCAGAAGCGGTGAGCTCCACGCTCGGAACAAAAAATGACCACGTACGCAGTCGATGAGCTCAGAGGGAACAGCTCTCAACACGCGAGCACTGGGAAAAGACCCCAGAATGATAAAAAAAAAAAAAAAAAAAAAGTCTTGATCCAACGCCGAACCCAGAACTTGAAACTCCGAGATGGGAAAGCTTCCCTGCTTGCACGCTACGAGCCACCAGGTTATTTTATTCCTGCCTGTGTGTGCGTGTCAATGGTTGGCTATAAACCGGAGCCGAGTAAACCGGCGACGCTCACCCAAACGGCCGCGAGGTTGGCTGACCGCAGACTCGCGGCCTCCCCCCCCCCCCGAAGCGACCCCACCTCCCACGCGCGGCAGGGCTGCGGGGAGGGGGAACTGCCAAAGGGGCGCTGGGAACACCGCCCCCCGCCTCGCGCGAGGCGCTCAGCCGGCCAGGGAAAATGAAGTTAACGAGCAAAGCTTTAATCAGCGGACCTTGGTGTAATCGGGAACAGAGCCCCCTGAATACGCAATGACAGGCCATCTCCCCCTGACTTTCCATTTTCCCATGGGAAGAAAGTTACGGATGGAAAAGAAAAAGCCTCCGAATCGGAGATTAAAAGCCCCCACATAAAAGCAGCTTTCCTCTAAGGCCCGGCTCAGCCCGCACGTCCTGCCCAGGGCAGGAAGCAACCGCGCCGCAGGAGAGCCAGGAGGAGCATCGGCAACGGGTAGAGGAAGGAGAAGAAACTCGTCCGCTCGTACAATATTGCTGTTTTGCTAGCAAATTTACATAGGGACACACCTCATTAACTGAGGAACAGTTTCATTCGAGTTTGTGGCAAATACAAATGTTTTTTTTTTTTGTTTTTTTTTTTTTTTTCTGAAATCTACCCCAAATTAGGAGGGTTTAATCCTTGGGTCCTCGCTTAGCCTCTGCAGGTCGGTGCTTTGCGAGAGCAGAGCCGCGGGCACCTTCTCCAGGGAAGACGCTCACCGGTTTTACTCCACTGAAAGTCTAGACCCCAGCCCAGTTTAAGAACCTTTATTCACCCCTATCGACAGGTCCCTAATCACGTGGAGACTGTGGTGGTCAGCCAAGAGCACAAGCCACAGCTGACGGGCGGGAGCTCTTCACCTGCCCGTGGGTGGTCAAAGCACCCGGACTGAATTTGAACAATCTCGACCCGTTTAGACCCAACGAGTCCACGCTCCACCACCATCTGACATATTGAACGGGCATTAAAACCAACGGAGCACTGAGCCTGCCCTCTGTTTAGCACACCTAAGCCAAGTCTATAAACTTGTGTTCGACTAATACCCATCTCCCTCGGGCAATCCCCTTGACTGCTTGCCGTGGTTTGGGCCTGGTTGGCTGCCAACCACAATGCAGCAGCTCTCTCTCCCTTCCCCTCCGGCAATAAGAAGGGACAGAGAGCCAGGCTTGGGGTTCGAGATAGGACTGGGATGGGGAAAAATCCCCCTTTATGGTCACGAGCAAAAGGCAGACTCGTTAGGGGAAGAAAAAAAGAACATACATTTATTACAGACACTAACAACACATAACAGAGTAGGACAGTGAGAAGCATTGCCACATCTTGAGAACACCTTCCCCCCACCCCTCCCTTCTTCCCGGGCTCAGCTCTGCTCCCGATATCTCTACCTCCTCCCCCAGGGGCTCAGGGGCAGGGAATGGGGGGTGCAGGCAGTGCTGCCACTTCCCTGATCTTCGGTGAGGGGAGTGTCCGGAACTTGTTCCCCCTGCTCCATCGTGGTCCCCCTCTCACAGGAGACAGTCCTCCACAAACTTTCTCCGACATGAGTCCCTCCCACGGGCCGCAGCGTTCCCCACACTGCTCCGTCATGGGTCACTAACTTCCTCCGACTGGATTCCCTCCCACGGCTGCAGCCCTTCCCGAGCTGCTCCGGCGTGGGACTCCCCCGCATGCTGCAATCCTCCCAGCACTGAATTACAGCAGCGGGGCTGCCTTTTCCCATGAGACCCCGGCCTTCTTCGGGCACAGCACCTTGATCAGCTGAGCAGGAGCAACAGGCCACAAATCAATGTCTGCTCCACCATAGATCTCCATGGGTGGCAGGGGGGGCTGCCCTGCCGTCTCCCCACAGGATACAGGGGGGTCTCTGCTCCGGCACACCTCCCCCCTCCTTTCTTCCTCCGTTCCTCCACTGACCTTGGTGTTCACGCAGCTGCAGCAACTCCTCCTCACCAGTCCCACTGCTCGTCACCACGTCCCTTCTTAAATACGTTATCGCAGAGGTGCAGCCGATTGGCTCAATTTCCCAAACAGAAGTGGAGCTGACGTGGAGCTGGGGGAGCTTCGAGAAGCTTCTCCCAGGGGGCCGCCCCGATAGCCCCCTCCCCTGCCACCAAAAAACTCCACCACTCACTGAACCCAGGACACTGCTGACCCCAAGGGTTAATCCCATTTAAAATTTTGCTTTCCAAACCACCAGATTTTTCTTTTTCCTGGCTTTAGCTTGGCCTGAACAGTCTCCCTGTAAGCGTGCCTTGTCAACAAGTTCCCCTTGAGTCTTCTCAATAACCTCAACAAAATCATCCCCTCACCATAAGGGAACTTCCTCAGTACCTGACCACCCTGAAAGCCCCCTGGGTTAACTGCTGCCACCAAAATCAAAGATATTTGCAGAAACCGTGTTATCAATACTTTAAGCAAAGAGAAGCCATTCTCCATTCATCCTCAGTTGGTATCCTTTAATGCTTTAAATCCAGTTTTTCGTCACAGCATTCGTTCATAGGTCTCCCCAGGTTTTTTTGCCCACAGTGACCCCAGTTGCCTGGAACACTCTTCTCCACCCATCCATAGCTGTGGTCTGCAAGTGCCGTACCCTGCGTAAAAACTTGAAAAGATCTGGTTTTTTGCAGACAATTCTAGGGGTGCAGATTGAAAAGGTAGTAACGTCAGGAATACTCTGAAATCTATCCATAATTTTTAAGCCATTTTACATTTATTTTAGTATTTTAAACAACTTTATTTAAGAATTGGTCCCTTCCCATTACTTGCGACTTACAGAAATCCCTGGTTATTAGCTGCTAACCTGACTGGCACTCGATGCCTGCTTAGCTTGCTGAAATTACAATATTATATTTCAAGTGAGCTTAGCCTTCCTGCACTGGAAGCAAAGTGATAATTCAACCTGGGTGGTCGTCTTTTGCACAGGGAATGTCTTTTTGCCATTAAGGACAAAACACGGGGAGTTAGCCCCCCGGGTCATTAATTGTGTTTTACCTTCTGCAGACCAAGCCTAACGCCATTACCTTGCTACCAAGCTTTGAGACAAGCCTGAAGGTTACCTAAGAGGATGCTGTAAAGAACAGAGCCCAGTGTGAGTCTGAAGGATAAGCCTGCTTTATTAATACAAAGTTATGGGCAGGGGGGGGGAATCAAACAAAACCCACTTGGTACAGAATACATGTGCTCTGAGAGGGAGGGAAACGGTTACTGGAAATTCAACCACCTATCTTACACTTCTCTGTACTTTCTCCAGGTTAATCAGGCCTCGGTGAAATCAAGTTTGACAAGTGCCATTAACATCCGTTAATTTACGCGCTCCAGTCCCTTCGCACCCAGCGCAATGCGGGCACAACGTGTGCTGGCTACGACCAGTCCCAGAGGAACAAGAGCTGTTAGCGAACGTTTTTGTTAAATGTGCCTCAGTGCCTTGGTCCACAGAAAGCCATTGAAAAACTCTGCCCTGCTGTTAAACACTAATTTTTTTTCGGAACGGCCTCCCGGTTCCAAGGGCTGACACGAGATCACCAGAGTTCCCAAGGTCGGAAGTGTTTTGTTTGCCCGCCTTCTCTCTTTATCCCGAGCAGTCAGGAACCCTGACACATTCAGCAGTGATGCCACGACGTCCCAGTCCAAACCAGTCTAAAATACAGATTCATTGACTGTATCAAAAATACAACTCTAATAGCAAGTGAATTCTTTTAATAATCAGATTTATGCTCTTCTTTTTAAGGTAGCTGAATTGCTCCGGAAAACAAAGCCAGCAGCACATTTCAATCATATTTATAGCGATTTCTATTCCATTTTGCTTCCTTATTTCGTTTCCTACCTGTGGCTCTCAAGGTCTGGGACCGAAACGCAGCAGATTCACCCCCACTGCAAAACTCCTGCCCTATTCCTCAGTAAAACACAGAGCAACCCACGCTCAGCGAGTTATTTTAACAAAAATCCAGCTGGAGTCAAGTTGAAAACGAAGGTGTTCTTTAGCCTTTGAGTTATTAAGGAGCTATTATCAAAAACTTGCGTCGTCAAGAGCCCCATTAACGTTCTCCAGTAGGAGCAAATGGGAGCTCTGACTCACACCAGTGCAACGAGGACTGCAGAGAGCTCGAGCAGGATTAATAAATCCAGCACTACGAGCGCAGCAGAAAGCAGAGGTGCAGGTAAATCAACTGGGCATCCTCCATGTGTATTAAAAGATCAAGAAGAACATTTAAATACCTGCGAGATACTTCAAATTGGACTAATGAGGGATTACTGACAATTCCTCTCAAACCAGAACGCTCTGACAGTTTAAAAGGCAAATGCTTTATTATTTCGTACGTGGGCTCAGCATTTACTCCCACACTTGGGAACGGGATACACGGAGGTGACAGGCATTTGAAAGCTGTGAAATCCACCGCGTTCGGATCGAGAACTCTAGAGGAAGCATCAAAATCCAGTGAGGAAACCTTCCTCCATCAATATTTGGAGAAGGATCGATTGACTGGGAGAGAGACAGAGAGAGAGAGGGAGGAATAGATAGATTAAAATATCAATTGCGCTGATATTTTTACCCTTCCATAACAAAACCCCAAATGGTTTTCCCTTCTTGCTAACAAAGCCAATACGTCCTTGCATCAATTAGATTTAATGAGAAGTTGCAGATTTATCTTTGCAGCCCCCCCTTCATCCCTTCTCTGCTGCCCTCCCCTCAGACATACCTGTCTAATTGCCGTGATTATAGCACGGCTCTGATTTGCATCCCACCGGAGGGGGCCAGCCAGCAAATTAAACCAGTGTCCCAACGCACGGCTTGGGTTCCTGGGGCTGGATTGGGTTTGCTTTTCGCAGAGACAGAGAGAAGACAATTTACAAAGCAGTGCCTGGCCCCCGCTCAACGCCAGCGCTGCTCCCAGGAGCCGGGTCCTTCCCAGAGCCTCACCGGAGCGAAACGAGGGCCGTCGCCTCTGCGGCAGAAGCAAGTTGCCTCCAGAAGCTTCAGGTGATAAGCCTGTTTAAAGCTTAGATGTCGCTCAGACTCGGAAAGGGTTTTTTTTTTAAAAATAAAGCTGTACTGTCAAAGCTCATCATTTCCCCCTGGCTTTTGGGTTTGTTTGTTTGTTTGTTTGTTTGTTTTTTCTGAATAAACATTAGGTCCCAGAGGCGTTTTATGAGCGGTTTAGGAAACACCCACTGCAACAACAAGACCCCAAACCACGCAAGGCTTTGGCCCTACCTACCCTCAGAGCTAGTGGTATCAATTTATTACAGATTTACGCTGAGGCGGCAGCAGGATGGCTCCTGCCTGCCCCGGCTGCCCTGACGCAAAACTCAATCGCAGGCTGTTCCAAAACGGTTTTTTGGCTCAAAGAAGGACACGTGCGGCCCCTGAGCGCGCCCAAGCCAACGGCGCATCGCCCGCAGGGGCTCCAGGCATGGAGGGTGCCGCCGGGTTTTAACCGCGGGCTCGTTTACCGGGGGATGAGATCGCCGAGCTCCGACGCGAACGCCGCCCTTGCGAAAAACGAATAAACCCTCAACGGGAGATATCCGAGGCGGTGCAAGGGGATACTCCTGCAGGAGCTGAGACGTCAGCACTATAAATCTTGAATGACCCAACAGGACATTCCGTGTTCAGGCACCGCACGCACCGTCTTGCATACGTTACACGCCGCCACCGCCACCACGCAGACTGACGCGGGAGCAGTAATTGGCTTAAGGGAGCTCTAAGGACATTTTTAAGTCATTTAACCTTTACTCTCTTGGTTTAACCTTGCCACTAATCCCTGCAGGCGAGCACCACCTCGCCTCCCCCGGCGCCTGTTCCTGCAGGCCACCCATCCCGTTCAGCCCCGCTTCGCAGGGCTGCAAGAAACCCTCCCCTCACCCAGGCGCCTCCTCACGCGTTTCGAGCGCTTGATCCACTTTTTTTTTTTTTTTTTTTGGCTTAACCTGCAACTTCGATTAACACAGACGCGCACCGACATTTCCCCGTGGGACTCTGAGTTCACTCCCGTCCTCCTGTAGTCTTTCAGGAAGGAGAATTAACTCGGGAACCCAACCCTGCCTCTCGCCTCCCTCGGCCAGGTGAGCCCAAGCGTCTCCAAAAATGGGACAAAGAAACCTCAGGACGGACTCTGTTGCTTTAGAAGTGCGTAACAAATCATTTTAAAAAGTGGGGTTTCCACTTTGTCAGCTTCCAGGGTACTTCTTTATTATAAGGAGCAATTAAAACACATCCCAGAAAACGATGAAAGGGACAGAGAGTCTGTCGTGTGCTCCTCACAATCACTTATAGGCACTTAAAGCTTTCACATTAACACAGTAAGAAAGTCTTAAACTCTTAAAGCTTGTCTTAAAATTCTCCTATTGTTTCAACAATATGGAAAGATGAATGTTTCTTCAGGGTTATCGTGCCTGCTTTAACAAGCTAAAGTGAATAACAGGGAGGGGGGATGAGGCTGGTAGGTGGAGGTGCCCAGAAACTTAAAACTGTTGAATCAAATGCAACTGAGTAGTAAGCATGCACCGTTAGTAAGTCCTGAGGCGTGTATAAAAGTGAATTAGCAAACATCTGTCTGGGAAACCAAACTGAGATTTACAACACACAAAGCCTCCCACCTCCAGGGACTGGAAGAGGTTTCCGGATCTGAATAAGCGAGCGCTGCGCTGACACACAGATGAATTCACACCTGAATTTAGATGAAATAACCCCAAAACAACCCAAACCCAAAGTAATTTACTTATCGGCTTCACGTTCCACGAGGGAAGAGAAAAATCAGAACTAAGAACGGAAACAACTTCACTTACCAAGCACAAAGTGTGCCTTGTAACTTCTTCTTCACAAAAATCAAACTACAACGAAACTAAAAATCAAATCAAAATGAAAGTTTACGATTGTAAGGGTAGGACAGAAGCTTTCCAGCCTGCAGTGGAAACGGTGGCCTATTGGTGCTGAAATGGCACATGAGATAATACTCCTCTTCAGAAAAGCTCAGAGGAAGGCTCGTGCTGCTCCAGACGAGAGATAGACACCACTTCACAGTTTGGTTTGGAAGAATGTCTTTTTCTTTTTTTTTAATAAACTCCAGAGATTGCATCACTGGACAGCATGATTCAGCAGGATTAGAATCAGGAAAAAAAAAAAAAAAAAAAAAAATCAAATCCTGAAGCAAGCAAGCCTGCTCCTGCCCTCCGTGCGGCTTCTCCCCCATCTCGCAGCAGTTCATACCCTACCCAGGAAGGGGCCACGGGACCACAATCACCGCCCAAACCCTCATCACGAGGCTGGCAGGTCGAGGGAGACAGGCCAAACTGAGGAGTTGCTGCTGCATGTGAAGAGCTGCCGATTACTTTTACCGGCTTGCCCGGGATTTCTGGTTAAAAACGCAGGCCCTTTGCTACGGAGCAGCAGCACGAAGCACGTCGGGAAATCCAGCGCCCGTGTTCCTATCGAAACCGCGCCGGATTTCCTCGCTCCGGTCTGCCGTCGCCGTGCGGAGGAGCGATCCCCGCCTGCCTCCCCTCCCCTCCCCTCCCCTCCCACGCAGGACGAGCCCCCCCCCCCGCTGCCGCAGCCCCCCGAGGCGAGGGCAAGGCCGGGGGGGGAGCGTGGTGCAAGGCTGCAAGCCAGCGGCGAGTTGCCCGTGTGAAACCTCCCGCTGCTTCGAGGCAGGTTTAGTAACGCGCGCCGCCCATCGCTTGGAGTTTCCACACCGGGGATTGCTTCGGAAAAATACTGAATAGGGGCTGAGCATTTTAATTGGCGGATTGTTCTTTTTCTTGAATACGCTACACGAGCGGCTTCGTCAGCAGAAAAAACAAAAAAAACCAAAACAAAACAAAAAAAAAAACCCAGAAACAAAACCAATCCTTTACTGCACCGGTGCTTCCCAGTCCCTCAGCAGCAACAAACCAGCAACCTTCCCAGTTTTCAGGCCAGCACACACAAACTCACAGCGAAGCCTCTAAACTGCAAGCACTCGCGGGAGCGCTCTTCCGCGGACCCCACATCGCAAGCACCAGAGCTTTGACAGCCCCCTTCCTTTTTAAAGCTGTTTTTATGCTTTTTTTTGCCACGTGCATTGTTTCAAGGCAGGTGAGAGAAGCGCTACATAGCTCTCCTTTCAAAGCTTCCCAGGTGTCGAGGTTTGAGCCTGGTTGGCAGGCAACCACCACACAGCAGCTCTCTCTCCCTTCCCCTCCGGCAATGAGAAGGGACAGAGAGCCAGGCTTGGGGTTCCAGATAGGACTGGGATGGGGAAAAATCCCCCTTTATGGTCACGAGCAAAAGGCAGACTCGTTAGGGGAAGAAACAAAGAACATACATTTATTACAGACACTAACAACACATAACAGAGTAGGACAGTGAGAAGCATTGCCACATCTTGAGAACACCTTCCCCCCACCCCTCCCTCCTTCCCGGGCTCAGCTCTGCTCCCGATATCTCTACCTCCTCCCCCAGTGGGGCAGGGGCAGGGAATGGGGGGTGCAGTCAGTGCTGCCACTTCCCTTATCTTCGGTGAGGGGAGTGTCCGGAACTTGTTCCCCCCTGCTCCATCGTGGTCCCCCTCTCACAGGAGACAGTCCTCCACAAACTTTCTCCGACTTGAATTCCTCCCACGGGCCGCAGCGTTCCCCACACTGCTCCGTCGTGGGTCACTAACTTCCTCCGACTGGATTCCCTCCCACGGCTGCAGCCCTTCCCGAGCTGCTCCGGCGTGGGACTCCCCCGCATGCTGCAATCCTCCCAGCACTGAATTACAGCAGCGGGGCTGCCTTTTCCCATGAGACCCCGGCCTTCTTCGGGCACAGCACCTTGATTATACCAAGCAGAAGCCACAGGCCATAATTCAATGTCTGCTCCACCGTAGATCTCCATGGGTGGCAGGGGGGGGCCGCCCTGCCGTCTCCCCACAGGATACAGGGGGGTCTCTGCTCCGGCACACCTCCCCCCTCCTTTCTCCCTCCGTTCCTCCACTGACCTTGGTGTTCATGCAGCTGCAGCAACTCCTCCTCACCAGTCCCCCTGCCCGTCACCACGTCCCTTCTTAAATACGTTATCGCAGAGGCGCAGCTGATGGGCTCAGTTTCCAAACAGAAGTGGAGCTGACTTGGAGCTGGGGGAGCTTCGAGAAGCTTCTCCCAGGGGGCCGCCCCGATAGCCCCCTCCCCTGCCACCAAAAAACTCCACCACTCACTCAACCCAGGACACAAGGGGCTTGGTAAGAAAGGGGAGGACAGACTTTTTAGTAGGGCCTGTTGCAACAGGACAAGGGGTAACGGCTGTAAACTAAAAGAAGGTAGACTAGATACAAGGAAGATGGTTTTTTTACAATGACGGTGGTGAAACGCTGGTACGGGCTGCCCGGAGAGGCGGTGGATCCCCATTCCTGGAAACATTCAAGGTCAGGTTGAACGAGGCCTTGAGCAACCTGGTCGAGGTGAAGATGTCCCTGCTCATGGCAGGAGGGTTGGACTAGATGGTTTTTAAACATCCCTTCCAGCCCAAAACCATTCTGTGATCGGAGTTAAACCTGACCACGTGAGGCTGACGGCTACAGAGCAGCAAACTTATCACCGGTACGACGACACGTTTGCTTTTTTGTAGTCCTCTTCAGAGCACCGAGAGTCTGCAGACTCTCAAGTGAAGAACAAAAACCCCACGGGTTGTCTGCCCTAGCAGTGTGCTGCATGAAGGCGGCTCCTGGTAGTGCCTGCAATTTAGATGTTACAGGGACAGTTCCAACTGAATCGGGGACTGCAAGGGAAATTCTGGTATCGACACCGCTGAGACTCACCAGGCTCGGTGCTGCTGGTATTGTTATTTTAGCTCCCAGAAGTGTCAGTCAGATTGAGATCTCGCTGCACACCCGCAGCGTGCAGCCGAACACAGCGGGTACATGGCTGCGTGACCCAGGGTATCCATCTCCACGTGTCAACACGGGACAGCTACATTACACGCTTGGAGAAAAAAAAAATAAATAAAAAAATCAGCAGATTCCCTCTGGCTCTCGTAGAGAATTCCCTTAATGCTCCGTGAAGCAAAAATATGTAGTGCAGTTGGTTGCAGGCACAAGGGACCGTAGCTGAAATCACCTGGTGTGAGCAACCAAAGGTTTTGTGCTGGGTGGTACGTGCTGTTCCCACACCTGCAGCAGAGCAACAGTCAAAGATTAAACAGCCACGCCGAGACCCAAACCACTTTGAATGTATTTAAATCAGAAACTATTTCCAGCTTTTGGGCCTATTTAAAACTAAAAGCATGCAATAAGTTAAAGTAATAAGCAAAGCTTTGCTGATCCTTTTCAGCAGAAGTACTTTGCGTCCTTTTTTTCAGAGCTTTCCCCAATCCTGGGGTCCCCCCAGATCTGGTTTTATTCCAGCTGCTTTCCTCAGTGGAACTGCCCCCTGATGTACCAATACATCCATCGTTACGAAAGAAATCACAACAAAAATCAAGCAGGTGCTACCCATCAGTTCTTAACCAAAAAATTACTAATAAAAGCTAAATGCATCCCTTCCCTTACATGGTTTTCATTGTAACACATGCCTGATTTATGTACGGTTTCCTCGTTTTTACTGAAAAGATGGCAAACCCCACAATTTTGGGGAGACTTGGGGGCGCACACTCTTCTGACTACAGCTGGAAGCGCTGATGCTACCACCTCTGGACACTTCCTAGAAACCAGCCCAGTAACGGTCAGCAGCCTCCCCACTCTGCCCAGCGAAATAGTTTGGGGTGATCCTGCTCTGATTCAGTCAAAACGAGATAAAGTGATTCTCGTAGCAGGTTGTTGCTGAACTAGCTCATTCTGACATGCGCCAGCCGGGTCA